TACGGAGATGGATCTGGTGGGAAGAACAGCGCAGATTGGAGATACAGGCGGCGTGGCTGGGCATGGGTACGACTACGGCAGCAAGGTGACGGCTACGAACTCGCAGCTGGACAATTTGGACCCCTCCCAGGCCGCCGCCAAACCAACAATAGAGCGGAGCTGTGGGCCCTTCTCAGTTGTTTACGTAGCACGGCAGGGGCACTACACTTCTGGACGGACAGCGAGGTGGTGTATAAAGGCTGGCACAACAGAAGGTTCGAGAAATGCGGCGAAGTCGGCACCAACGGCGACCTGTGGCAGCAGATCGGGCAGGAGCTGGAGATGCGGGGCGGAGTGGAAAGTATTCAGCTACACCACATCAACAGCCACCTCTCCTGGGAGGATGCGGAGGCTAAAGGGTTCCCTCGACATGCTTGGTATGGTAACGGCCAAGCAGATCGCTTCGCCGACGCAGCCGCAGAGAACCACGACATAGACTCCGCGCAGATGGGTTGCTACGAATGGGTCAACTCGACGGCAGCCCTAGTACGGCGAAGCATTATTGCAGCAACCAAAGACCTCATACAACGACGGCCAGGCGACGGACACGAAGTACGGGCACAGAGAAGTCAACAGCGACAAGAGGCGAACAAACAAATACGACGGCGACGAGATTACCTGGCGGACGGACCACCTGCACCAGTTGGGAGAAGGCCACCGACAACGCATCGACTCATACGCCCAAGAAAAGGTAAAGGGTGGAAGTGCACGTGCTGTGAACAGAAGATCGACAAGCACACCCCCTTCCAGACACTCGTGAAGTGGTTTGGGGACGGCTGCCAAGGGCCGCCACCCAAGGAAGGCACGGAGCTAAAACAAAATGGAATGACCACACACGCATCGCACCCTCTCATCTTCCTGCGTGCTGAGAAGCGTTGGTTCTGCAAGGAATGCGGCGCCACCTCCACGGAGTATATATCGGACAAGATGAGGAGTGAGTGCAAAGGAAAGCCGACGTACAGCAGCCTCAAATACAAATTACTAAACTGGCTCAAGAAGGCAGCGGAGGAGAAGACTGAGGAGACTGTGGATGGGCGTGAGGCAGATACCGAGCATGCCCAACTGGCCCGCTCCTCGGGGTTGGGCACATGTGCGACGCAGAGTACCAGTCCAGCATCACAGACGCGCATACGTCGCCACGATGCTGGACCTGCCCCAGGTGGCACGCACTGCTCGCCCGCAGCCGAAAGGCCGTTGAGGGTTGAGGGTACCGACCACCTGGGGAGTCAGAACGCCGCATCGCAGATGCTCAGTCGTCGCCATGCTGCTGGATCTGCCTCAGGTGGCACGCACTGCTCGCCCGCAGCCCAAGAGCCATCGAGAGTAGAGGGTATCGACCCCCTGGGGAGTCAGAACGCAGAGACCACTCACAGCTCACGAGCGGCAGCGGAGAGAGCAACCAGAAGAAGGAGAAGCCGTACCCAACTCCCAGACACGAGAGCGCTCCTGCAGCAGGCCATCATGATGCAAATACGAAGTACCCGCGCCATCGAGGAGGATGAAGAGCCGCTCCTCCGAATAGACGAAGACCCGCGGCCTGCACACACTCCTGAGCCAGAGCCTGAAGCTGAAGCAAATCGAGGAGACTCACCCTTGGGCACCCACACATCAGGGGAGACCTCAGGAGAGAGCTCGGGCGCTACGACGACGCGAACCCGTTCGGCCAGCCCAACGGCGAGAGCAGGTCCGACCCCGAGGGCCCACGCGCCACCACGCGTGGGCCCGCCACCTCCAGGGGAATCAACAGCACGACCAGAAGGTGAACCACGGCTCCGCGCGCCTCCGCAAGACGCGCGCGGAGAAAGGGCGGCCTCAGGGCGCGGCCCTGGACAAGGTATGAATGCCCAACTGGCCCGCTCCTCGGGGTTGGGCACATGTTCGACCCAGAGCACCAGTCCTACGGCCAGATGCAGACCACGAGTGGCAGCAAGTGCAACCAGCAGAAGGAGAAGCCGACTACAGCTCCCCGACACGAACACCCTCTTGCAGCAGGCCATCATGATGCAGATACGAAGCTCACGCGCCATCGAGGAGGACGAGGCACCGCTCCTCCAGGCTGGCGAGGACCCTCGGCCTGCGCACCCACCGCACTACGCACCTGAAGCTGGAGCAGGCCGAGGAGGCCCACCCTCGGGCACCCCCACGTCGGGGGTGGCCCTCGAAGAGGGCACGGGCGCTACGACGACGCGAACCACTTCGGCCAGCCCGACGGCGAGAGGGAGGCCGACCCCGAGGGCCCACGCGCCCACGCGCGTGGGCCCGCTCCCACCTGCAGAGGCCGCAGCTCGCCAAGTCGGCTTGCCAAGGCTCCGCGCGCCTCCGCAAGATGCGCGCGGAGGAAGGGCGGCCTCAGGGCGCGGCCCATGTAGACGGCTCCGAGCGCCTCCGCCAGACGCGCTCGGAGAAAGGGCGGGGCCCAGGCCCGCGGCCCTTGAGCGGAGCCCCGCGCGCGGGAGCGCGGGGCCAGACTCGCACCTGCGAGAGGCGGAAAGCCCTGAAAGCTCCTCCTCCTCCTCCTCCTCCTGCTCATCCTCCTCCTCCGCCTCCTCCTCCTCCGCCCCCTCCTCCTCCTCCTCCTTCTCCTCCTCCTCCTCCCCCGCCTCCTGGTGATCGCGGTCCCTCCTCCTCCGCGCCTCCTCCTCCTCCGCCGCCTCCTCCTCCTCCTCCTCCTCCTCCTCCTCCTCCTCCTCCTCCTCCCTCCTCCCCCTCCTCCTCCTCCTCCTCCTCCTCCTCCTCCTCCTCCTCCTCCTCTTGGAAAACATGGTACGGGCCCTGCTGGGGGCAGAGATTTTCACATCCAACGCCCGCGGAGGCCCTCGAGGATCGATCCCCCGGGCGGTGGTTACCCCGCGTTTCTTACGAAGCGTCGGGGGGGGGCGCCACGCCCGCCGACTGCCCCACATCGACCCCGTCGCGGGCAGCCACCGCGCGCCGGAGGCGCTCCGACCCCAGTCGCGGCGCGACGACGCGGCGAGGTCGACCCCCGTCGGGGGGTACCCCCACGTTCATGAATGAGCCCAGCATGCTGTCAAGACGCGGGAGCAAAGCCCTCCTTGGGCCCCGGAGGGGCTCCAGTGCTCGGGCCGTGCCGGGAAGCAACAGAAAGGCGGACCAACCGAGCGGGAAGACAATCATTGACAGCGGGGAAAGAATGGAGGTCGGGGTTTCTTAATAAGCGTGGGGGGGTACCCCCCCCGACGGGGGTCAACCTCGCCTCGTCGTCGCGCCGCGACGGGGGTCGGAGCGGCTTCGGCGCGCGGTGGCTGCCCGCGACGGGGGTCGATGTGGGGCAGTCGGCGGGGGTGACGCCCCCCAGACGCTTGTTACGAAACCCGGAGAAGGGAAAGTGGCGAACGGGGAAGAATGTGAGGGAAGCGGGAAGGAAATAATAAGGGGGGCCCAGCTGCTCCTGAGGTCCAGGTCGGACAACCTCCTGTTCGTGGCTGGGGCTCGCCGCGGCCAGAAGGAAGGGCCCTCCGTTCCTAACCCAGCGTTTTAGGTACCAAAGAGCAACGCGATAACTGCATCGATACATCCGACGTTTTTTTGTTGTTAGTCGCGCAGCCCTGAGGTTCCCGATCCCTTTTTCCAGGGCTTGCGTTTCGTCCCAGGTGCATGTTTGACTGCCCCGGGGCCCCACAACGGGCCTCTGGAGGCCAAGATCAAGGAAAAGGCGCCAGGACTGAAGCATCAGACTCGTCTCGGGGCTTAAGACACGGGGGTCAGTGCGGACGGGGTCAACCAGAGCGCCGTATCTTGCAGGATCCTCCAGAGCCAGGGGCGCATTGACCCGAGCTTGCGTGCAGGATCCTGCAGGAACCCGACTGACCCGGGTTTGGATTACAGTCGGGGCCCTGAAGAAGGAACCCTTTTCGTTGGCGAGGGGCTCCGCGCTCCGTAAATGTTTCACAGCTTGCCTCAGGTTGTCCTTATGTTTTCGATCGGAAAACGAAGTTTAACTTATGGAAAAAACGGGCCTCGTTCCTTAGTTAGGGTTCCTTAGGTCAACGCCCCGACTGCAATCCTGGTCGGTCGGTCCCCGATTTTTCTGAGGTTGGGGTGGTCCTGGCACCGCCCGTCGCCTCCTGGCAGGGTCCACGTCGGTGCTCCCACCGGTCCGCTCCGAGATCTGTGCCGGCGTCGAGCAGTGGCGAGGCGTCCTGACTTGCAGTTCGGGCCCTGAAGAAGGAACCCTTTTCGTTGGGGAGGGGCTCCGCGTTCCGTAAGTGTTTCACAGCCTGCCTCGGGTGTTCCTCATGTTTTCGATGGGGAATCGAAGTTTAACTTCTGGAGAAAAGGGGCGTCGTTCCTTAGTTAGGGTTCCTTAGGTCAACGCCCCGACTGTACTTGTGGGCCCACCAAGGCATGTTCTACTGGTTATACGAACCTTTTGTGGTCTGCGCGGGCTGTTCTCGGAGCATGTCCCCAGCTGAGGCCTGGCGCTCCCGAGGCCCAGGCGGGGCCCCCGGGCGCCCCGAGACTGGCGACCAAAAACGCACCGCCGTGCTTTTTTTCCCAGGACGCGAGGGGTCCAGACTCGAGCTGGTTTCCCGATGCCCTGGCATCGCTTGGACGTGTGCATTTTTCTTTCGGCGAGGGCCATCGAGGAGCATCCTGGATCATTTGGAGAAAAAAGCCACGCAGGAAACCGACAAAAAGCACAGGGAGGGGACGTCCGAGCGATGCCAAGTTTCCCATGACGCGAGGGGGTCCAGATTCGAGTTGGTTCCCCGATGCGGTGCGGACGGATCCTGCCTGCCGCCACGCAGAGTAGGGGGCCACACGCGAACCCCTACCCCTACCCCCCACGATTTCTGAGGGGGAGGGTGGGGTTGACTTCGCTCGGGAGCTCCCAGACGAAGTGAACCCCACCCTCCCCCTCAGAAATCGTGGGGGGTAGGGGTAGGGGTTCGCGTGTGGCCGCCACGCAGAGGCAGAAGCCGTCGTCGGGGAGGGGGGAGGCTCCTGGCCGCCGGCTTCTGCGGCCTCGAGGGCCTCGCGCTGGCCGTGGCAGGCACGCGCGCGCTGCGCCCCGCTGCCGCTCCGTGGCTGGGCTCGTTGGAGGGGTGTCGGAGGAGGAGGGGGAGGAGAAGGAGGAGGAGAAGGAGGAGGAGGAGGAGGAGGAGGAGGAGGAAGGAACCGAGGAGGAGGAGGAGGAGGGGGAGGAGGAGGAGGAGGAGGAGGAGGAGGAGGAGGAGGAGGAGAAGGGGCAGGAGGAGGAGGAGGAGGGAGTAGGAGGAGGAGGAGGAGGAGGAGGAGGAGGGGGAGGAGGAGGAGGGGTGTCGGAGGTAGACCTCCTTCAGGAGGGAAACAAAAACACACAGATACAATGAATCGTCGATCCCCCGGAAAAAAAATGGGAAAACATGTGAAGTGGGGGGGAAGACAGAAACCCTGAAAAATATAGGAAATTACGGGGAGTCTGGTTATTTGTGTCTATTTCTTTGTGTGTCCCAGTTCCCCTTCATCTTTGGGGGGAGGGGTGTCGGAGGCCGATAAACCTCCTGCCCTGACACGTCGATTGAGGAATTGGCCCCGTTTCCGGTTCGCGAGAGGGCGTCGCGGCCGTGTCATGTTTGCGGGTCCAGGTCCGTCGGTTTCGGTCTTGGGCCGTTTTCACTAAAGGGAGGTTTACTGAAGGGAGGTTCAGGAAGGGAAAAAACACAGACACAATTAATCGTCGACTCCCAGGAAAATATGGGAAGTGGGGGAAGAGACAGAAACCCAGAAAATATATGAAAATATGGGGAATATTTTTCTTTGTGTGTATTTATGTGTGTGTGTGTCCTTGGGCCCCTTCAGAGGTTTGTTCTCCGCCGATGGTGGGCCCGACGGATTGCGCACAGCCGGACCCCTCGGGTGGTCCCGGCTGCAGCGGCTGGCGGGCCCGAGCACGAGGTGCCCAGGGCATGCGGCGCAGACTCGGCAGCTGGACGGCCCGCGTGCCGGTCGCGCGCCCAGTGTCGCGGTGAGAGACGGGCTTGTAGGCACGCCAGAGCCATTCCATCCACATCCTCCTCCCCCCCCCTCCTCCTCCGCCTCCTCCTCCTCCTCCTCCTCCTCCTCCGCCTCCTCCTCCTCCTCCTCCTCCTCCCTCGGCTGGGGCCACGGGGGGCGGCACTGCGGCGGCGGGGGGGCAGAGCCGTCGCGGTGGCCCTGCCGGGCAGCCTAACTATAGGGCGGTCGCACAGCGACGCTGGGGCGCCAAGTCTGCGTTCCACGCGTCAACGCACCCCCCGCGGGGTAGGCACGGCTGGCCACCACAGGCCCCCTTGGTAAGTAGTCCCGGGCGGTCACACCCCAATCTTGGGGCGCGGAGCGCCCCAGGGACCTGGCATCGCTCGGACGTGTGCATTTTTTTATCGGCGAGGGCCATCGAGGAGCATCCTTGACCAATTGGCGAAAAAAACACGCGCGACACCGAAAGAAAACACAAAAACAAAACGTCCGAGCGATGGCGAGGGGACGCCACCAGAGGCGTCGGCGCTACGGTCATCGGCCTGACCTGCGGGACGATACATAAAGAACGAAGCCTTTTGGTTCTCCAAGGAATAGCGCATAAGGAACGATGCATAATACATAACGCATGAGGAACGATGCAGAATACATGTGAACCTGAGGAACGACCAAACCCCTTTTGAAAAGTAAGTGTTCCTTATTCAAGCCTCTCTACGGTTTACAGTCGGACCGTGGACATCAGGTCGAGGTCGGTTCAGGGAGGGTGCCCTAGTGTTCTTCGTGTGTGTTGGATGGTCTTGTGCATCTTGGGAAAGGGTACCGTCGGTGATCTTCTGATTTTTGGGGGGGTGGCCTGAGGAGGGTCTCATGTTCTTCAAGGATGTTCGTCTTTTGGCCTGGGTTTCTGATTGTATTCGGGGGGCATGTTGAGGCCAGCTGGGACTGATGGAGGAGGACGATTGGAAAAGAACCCGCCCCACTCCCAGGGGGTCGCCTGCGCTTTATGTAGGGCAGACGAATCACATCTGGGGGCGAAGCTTTTTTTCAATCGCCCCCCTCCCAGATTTGTCATGGAGTCGCGGGCCGTCGTCATCCCGTCGGTCGTCATCCCGTCGCCGCCGTCGTCGTCGTCGTGGTCGTCATCGTCGTCCGCCGTCGCCCCAGGACTGCAGGGCGCCCGCGCAGAACCCGCCCCGCATGCCATCCGCAGTCCGCTGTCCGTCGTTGCGTCAGGACGCACACGCAGCAGCCCCCCCCTCATATGCCATCCGTCGTGCGCCGTCGTCGTCCGTCGTCGGCTCGTCAGGACGCCCACGCATGCAGCGACCCACCCCCCGTATGCCATCCGCAGTGCGAAGTCGTCTCCGTCGGTGTGTCGTCTTTTCGGGACTGCGGGACGCCAACTTAGCACCCCTCCCATGCAATCCACAGTCCGCCGTCGTGGTCCGTCGTCGTCTCGTCTCCGTCGGGGGTGCAGGACGCCCACGCAGCTTCCCCCCCTTATGCCGTCCGCAGTCCACCGTCGTCGTCTGTCGTCGTCTCGTCCCTCGGGACTGCAGGACGCCCACGCGGCACGCACACACACACACACACACACACCTTTCGGCCATCTGCAGTCCGCCGTCGTCTTCGCTGTCGTCTCGTCTTTCCGGACAGCAGGACGCCCACGCAGAACACACACACAGTTGTTTGCCGCAGTAGCTCGTCGCCATTGTCATCGTCCGCCGTCGCCCCAGGATTGAGGGACGCCCACGCAGCACACACACACACACCACCACCCACACCACATGCCATCCGCAGTATGCCTTCGTTGTCCGTCGTCGATTCGCGCTTCGGGGCGGCGAGACGCCCGCGCAGCACACGCACGCACGCACGCACGCACGCACGCACGCACGCACGCACGCACGCACGCACGCACGCACGCACGCACGCACGCACACACACACACACACACACACACACACACACACACACACACACACACACACACAAATGCCACAAATGCCACCCACATTCCGTCGTCGCCGCGAAACTGCAGGACGCCCGCGCAGCCCCTCCCCCAAGCCATCCGCAGCGCGCCGTCGTCTTTTCGCTGTCGTCGCCGCCCGTCGGTCGTGGTCCCCCCCAGGACTGCAAGACGCCCGCGCCTGGGGGCACGGGGCTGCCTCTGACCAGTCCGGGTAGCCACCCCCCGCTGCTCCGAAGTCTAGCAGTGGCGAAGTGTCCTGCCTCGCTTATAGCCCCACACCAATCACTGTTCTAAGAACCTCTTGTGGTTTCCACGAAGTGTTCGTAGAACATCTCTGGCTGGGATTGTCTTGTTTTAACGCATCGGGTTTATGTTATCAGAACCTTGTTTTGGTTCTTAGAACATTTTTGGGTCCTACGAACACTTCGTGGAAGAATTATAGGAATGCCGGGGCGGTCGGGCCCTGCTCAGCGAATGGTCGGCCCTCGGGCCTCCCCCGGGCCTCCCAGACGGCCCCGGGGGCCAGCCCCGAGTGGTCCGCCCTCCGCGGGCCGAGCCTGTCGGTTCGCTGCTCTGGAGGCAGCGGGGGCGGCGAACCGCTTGTTCCCCAATCGCCCCCCGGAGCACCATCATCGGGGGCGGACAGAACCCCCAACAGTGACACGTCGGTTGGTGAATTGTCCGTTTTCGGTGCTCGAGAGGGCGCCGCGGCGGTTATTTTCCAGGCTTGCGCCCGCCAGGTTTGGGCCTCAGGTCGTTTTCACGAAACCACGTTTCACTACAGGGAGGTCTGTCCATCCCCGGCATTAATCGCCCACCACCATTATCAGGGGGGGGCTCGTGGAGGCCCGCGGGGGCTGCCTTGGGGGGCTGTCCTCGCGCAGGAAGAAGCCTTGCCAGACAACGGGAGGCCCCCCGGCCCTCCGACGGCACGACTTTTTTTTCAATTCGGGCATTTCTCATTGATTTCGGCTTCTCGGAGGTGGCATCTGGACTTCAGGAGAATCAACAACTGATCGGATGTGGAAAACAAGTCTGGGGGCAAGGTCGGGAATGGGGGCCGCGCGTTGAACAAATCATCCGTCACTGGGCCTTGGGCCACAAGACGCTTCAGGAGGGGAGAACCTGGTCCCAGGGAAAGGGTCCAGACCTTTGGACGGCCGCGCTGCGACAAAAAAAGCAACGTCCGACGTCTGTTGCGGGGAGGACCTCTTGAGAGTTCCCTGACAACCACGGTGCGACTGCCCACGGAACTCGCGGGCAACGCTGGGGGGGGGGCGGATAGGCTCGGGGGGACGCGAGTCGACCCCCAATCGCCCACCCGTTGGCGAAGGCCCGAACAACAACCCAGGTACAGCTCGGGGGATCGATTTCTTGGGGGGTTTCGGCAGGCAGTGGACGTGGAGATGTTCGGGCCTTGGGGGGGGGCAAGCAGATCCGCATCCACCGACTGCCGAAGTCCTCGAAGATCGACCTCCCGGGCGGTGCGTTTGTGGACACATCCTCGTTTCGCAAGGGGGGCTGCCACTGCACGTGCCCCACGTGAGGGGCTGCGCCGGTTCCCAAACGCGGGGAGGGAAGGGAAGGCGAAAGAGGAACACAAACAGGGGCGAGGAAGAGTAGGAGGAAGAGGAGGAGCAGGAGGATGAATCAATCCTCAAAGAGTTTCATGAGGAGCAGGAGGAGCAGGAGGATGAGCAGGAGAAGCAGGAGGATGAATAAGCAGGAGGAGCAGTAGGAGCCATAAAGAGTTTCCTATCAATCCCACCCGTAGTTTCTCATCGCGCTGATTAGTCTCAATCCGCCGACGGGTGTCGCACCGGTTCTGGAACCCCCAAAGGAGCCTGTTGTTTGATCGTGTCATGCGGGATCAAAAGCGGGGGGCACAATGTACACTGGAGGCGGAATCTGATGATGCGGAGAAAGAGGATGAGGAGGACGAGGAGGAGGAGGAAGAGGAAGAGGAGGAGGATGGGGATGAGGAGGAGGAGGAAGAGAAGGAGGATGTGGCGAATGAGCAAAATGATGAACCGAAAGGAGATGGCGAGGATGAGAACGGAACGGGGCGAAGAGGCGCAGCAGCAGCAACGGGAAAAGCGGGAGGACCAGGGAGAGGTGGAGGAGGGGAGAAGGGGGGGGCGAACACGACGAGGAGGGATTCGGATCTAGAATTGAGGCCCGCGCTGGGGCGAGAGCGACATTCTGCCCGACGAGAGCATCACGCCGATCTTAAAACGAGGCCCCCAGCGCAGCGGAACGCTACGATTGAAAAGCGAAACGATTGAAGCAACACTGACTGACATCCCACGCTTGAAGAAACAAGCAACAAAACGCAGCATGCGGGAAAGCGCGCCCTGACTCCAGGAGAGGGGAGAGAAGTAACCACATCAAGTTATGTGCGTCCTCGCCGTACTTCGTATCTTGCCACCTGCCTCTCCCAACCATCCCTTCCCATCGCGCCGATGCGTCCTTATTCGCCGGCGGGTGTCATAGGAGGACGTCGAACCCCCAAAAGGACCTCATCGTGTCATGCGCACTCAGGAAACTGGAGCAGTGCTCACTGGATGAGGAGGAGGAGAAAGAGGAGGAGGAGGAGGAGGAGGAGGAATAAGATGAAACATGAGCATAAACCGAAGAAGAAGAAGAAGCATACACAGAAGCATAAGCATAAAACTAACAATAATGACAATAATACTACGAATACTTATAATACGAAGAACCACACGAATAATAATAAGAATAAGGAGGAGGAGGAGAAGGAGGAGGAGGAGGAGGAGGAGGAGAGGAGGGGGGGTCCGAAGGGCCGCCGCCACGTGTGCCCCTCCTCCGGCGTGCACCGCCGCCCCCCCCGCCGACGAGAGGCGCCCTGATGGCGCTGGTGCGCCCCCCGCGGGGCCCCGACGGCGCGGCGGCGGGCGAGGGCCGCCTCCTCGACGGGTCCTCCCCGCTGTACTGGCTTCCGCAGCTGCTGCGGCTGGCAGGCGCACGCCCCCGGCCCCGCCCCCGCCGCTCCTCGCTCCTCGCTCCTCCTCCTGCTCCTCGCTCCTCGCTCCTCCTCCTCCTCCTCCTCCTCCTCCTCCTCCTCCTCCTCCTCCTCCTCCTCCTCCTCCTCCTCCTCCTCCTCCTCCTCCTCCTCCTCCTCCTCCTCCTCCTCTCCTCTCCTGCCCACCACCCCACCCCAGCCCGACGCGACGGCCCTCGTAAGTTGCCCCTCCCCCCCCCCCGCCCTTGTTCACTTGCCCTCCACCCCACCCCAGCCCAACGGGACGGCCCCAGCAGGTTGCCCTGCATTCCCAGAGGGGGGGGGGGACATCCCGGAGCATGGAGCAGACACAGGTGGAACCAGTACGCCCCCGACCAGGTTTTGGTAGATTTCCGGTTGGGCTGGGATGGTCTGGTCGGCATCCATTATTTGCTGCAAATTCCAGTTGGGGACGGAGGAGATCGCGCCGCATCGCCGACGGATCGGCGATGCGGCTCGATGTGGAGCCCGATGTTCTCCACGCCTGCGTTGCCGATGCACCGCCGACGTCGGCGATGCATCGGCGATGCATCGCCGCGGTGGCGCGATCATCCGACCCCATGCTCTCGGACCCCATCTGGGAGGCCTCTAGCTTTTCAGGGGCAACTCACAGTTGCGCCTCTCGGTCAGAGGAGGAATAGATTCGGAAACTGTACCATCTACGTTACCAGTGGCGGGCTGTTTTGCAATCCCAGGACTTTTTGAGGGTCGGGGACGACGCTGGGGTGGTGTGGTGTATACTTTATTCCCCGATGTCCCGGGAAACCCACGAACAATGTATACACTTGTTTGATCTGCTGGGCGAAAGCGAACCTCTTCCGCTGGAAGCTAAGCGGGACACGCACAGCTTTAATTAGCAGAGGAAGGGCGAAAGAAGGCGGGGCCTCACGGCGGCCGGGGTCGAACAATGTATACACCAGGATCCCGGATACTTTTTGAGGGTCGGGGACGACACTGGGGTGGTGTGGTGTATATTTTTGTTCCCCGATGCCCCGGGAAAACAACGAACAATGTATACACCAGGATCCCGCATGCACCAGGAATCCGCGTCCCTGTGCGAATGTCAGCGCAGGGTCGGGACAAGCGTCAGTGTATAGAGTTCGGTTCCCTACAGATGCCGATGCGGCTGCTCGCCCTGGAGAGCCCCCGTCACCACGGCTGGATTAGCTTCGACAGTCTGGTCAGAACCCGGGAGAGGTCCCGGGCGCAGCAGCATCGGTCTTTTGGTTGCTCTCCCAGCAACATTCGGGGATGATAGGCTCAGGGTTGAGGGGTGAGGAGCAGGAGGGGGGGAGGGGGAGGAAGAGCACGAGAGAGGGGATGGGGTTCGAGGCTCGAGACTTTGGGACGCTTTCGTCGGTTCTCGCGGTTTTCTTCCGGCCTCGCGGTGCTTTCCGGCGGCTGCGGTTTGCCAATAAAGCGTTCTGGGTGTGTCCGGATCGTCCCGAGCGGCAGCCAGAGAACCAAAGTATGGCTTGAAAACCAGTCGGAGGTTGATAGACCTCTTACCCTGACACGTCGATTAAGGAATTGGCCGTAGGAATTGGCCGTTTTCGGTTCGCGAGAGTGCGTCGCGGCCGTCAATTTTGCGGGTCCAGGTCCGTCGGTTTCGGTCCCAGGCCGTTTTCATTAAGGGGAGGTTTACTAAAGGGAGGTTTGTCCACCGCCGAGCCAGGGGCAACGATGAATTGGGAGGATGGCTCAGGGGGGGATAGTTATATCGACCCTCAGTCGTCAATTGATCTCCGATAGGGACCTGATCGTCCGCCCCGCCCAGGAATGTGCGGTTTCGCTGTCGGGAGCCTATCGCCGATCTATCGTGCCATGTATCACCTATTACAGCTCGATGTTTCTCCCCCTGAACAGGTTTCACCCCCTGGCGTTGCCCTTCATTTTTTTACCTTCGAGGAGAGATTGATGCCGATACCAGTACCCTTTCCTAGTTTTCGCCGTGTTGAGCTTCCTGGGAGGCCCTCGTCGCCACGGCTGGAGTTAATTCGAAAGTCTGGTCAGCACGCACCGTGGTCAAACGCACGTTGGGAGTAGCGGTATCGGTACCTTATAATTCTCCAACGAAGGGGGACACTTTCGAATGCCGCTACCCCTCCCTCGTCTTCCGTTCCTCCCGAAGCAAAGTACACCCTTCTTTTTCTGGGCTTCGATGTTGTAGTTTGCGCCGGCTCAGGCAAAAAGCAATCGGGGTTGCTGATGGGATTGTCACAGCTTGCGATTCAATGCTGAAGCACCCTGTATGGGCATACAAATCCACCGGTTATCACAGCATTGGGGAACTGCACTGGGAGCCAAAGAAAGTCATTTGATGTCCGGACATGCATGCGCAGAAATATCGAATTAAAGTGTGCTGTTCAAGGTTCTTTCAGAATTCCTCAAAATCATCGGGTCGGGGGGCTCTCTGAGGACTGCTTACAGCGGTGATCGGTCAAGAGAGACTGAGCGTCTACTCGCGCTGCGGCAGAAGCCAGGGCTCGCCATGACAGGGCATGCTCCTTCCGCGCACGTATGTGTGCGTGCGACTGTGTGCACGCGTCCTGTCACGATATGCGCCAGTGGTTTGGACTCAGCCGCGTTTCGGAGGAAGACGTGCGAGTGTGCGTCTGTGTTGTGTGTTGTGTGTTGTGTGTGTGTGTTGTGTGTGTTGTGTGTTGTGTGTCTTGTGTGTGTTGTGTGTGTGTTGTGTGTGTTATGTGTGCTGTGTGTTGTGTGTTTGTGTGTGTGCGTGTGTGTGTGTGTGTGTGTGTGTGTGGCGGGCGCCTTCTCCCTCCCCCTCCTGCATGGTGGCTTAATTCGCGCTTCGTGCGCACACCAACGGCCTATCGCCAGCGCAGTGACTCTGCCTAGCCGCCGACGGAAAAAAAGGTGTGTGTGTGTGTGGTTATTGCTTCTCACCGATCTCCACAGTGACACTGCCACCGCGTCAGGGTCCCTGCTGATGTGCGTGCTGTCGAACCAGGTGCTCTTGGTCATCGGTGGGCACTTGCATCGGAGCCGCTCTCCCCACGCATCCCTCTTTCACTCTACGCTGAAGGTCGCAGCATCAGGCACGCGTTGAATCAACCTTCATGGCCCTCCTATTGTTCTTTCTCCTCCGCCTCCGCCTCGCGTCCCCTCCTCCGTCCGCCGCCCCCAGACCAAGATAACAATGTGTGCCCGTTTCCGTGACATTCGCGAGTAGATCGTTCGTCACAGTGTTAACGCACGAGATCCAGAGAGTTTGTAGTAGCATGTTATTTGGAGGTGCCCCCAGGATCCCCGGGGCGGCCCAGACGGCCTCTTCTTGGCATTGCTCGGACGTGTGCATTTTTCCTTCGGCGAGGACCATCGAGGAGCATCCTTGATCATTTGGCGAAAAAACCACGCACGAAACCGACAAAAGCACAGGGAATGAACGTCCGAGCGATGGCCAGGGGGTGGCCCAGGCGGCCTCCAGGGCACCCCTCGCGGGGCCCGGAGGCCCCAGGGGGCTCCGCTGAGCTGCGGGCACGCTGGGCCCGGGGCACCTTCGCAGCCCCCGATGCGTTGTGTAAGTCGGGCGTGCCCCTCAACAGGAGGAGCATTCAAGAATAGTACGAAGATAGTTTGGGCTACGATTTTTAGATTATTGATGGGTCATGTTTGGATATCTTTTTGGCTATTTCGATGTTTCGTCCAAACTCCGCCTGCAGGGGGACATGCCCAACCTAAGATTAGTTGTCCGTTGTCATTTTCCAGACTGCGCCGGGGCGAATTGTAGCGTTACCAAGATTATGGGGCGGCCCCGGTGACAGGCGACATCGCGAAGAGTCAACATAAGTAATCCCAGGCACTCCTCGCAGCGTTGCTGTCATCGTCGAACTGGCCGTTGGTCCCTCCTGTGCCATACTGGAGCGAGCCGACTGAGTAGTATCACGTCTGGTGTGTCCCTCTACAGGAGGAATCTTCTAAAATAGTCAAAAGATAGTCTGGGGACGATTTCTCTAGCATTTGTTGACAATTCCTGAAAGTATTTGTTGACCATGTTATAGTTTTCCCGCCAAATCCGCCTGTAGGAGGACATGCCCGACCTAAGAGCATGTCGCCCTTTGCGGGCGCAGCACGTTTTTTGTAATGCGCCCGCTCGGGTTGGCGAATTGATAGCGAGCGCACTCCATAAGGAAACGCGATCCTCCTCCTCCTCCTCCTCCTCGCCCTCCTCCTCCTCCTCCTCCTCCTCCTCCTCCTCCTCCTCCTCCTCCCGCCCTCCTCGCCGAAGGCTCTTCACGCCCCTGGAACTGCGTGGTGACGGGCCGCGAAGTGGCCTCGGAATCCCCAGCGACTGCACCGCGCGCTGCGGGGGTTGGGAGCTGGGCGGGGGGCTGTGCGCAAAGCGAATTGCCCAGGAGTTCGCTCTTCACCTCGTCTGCCCTGCGGGCAGAGGCATCGATCTGGAGCCGCGCGCGGGCTCGTGTCGGCCTCGAGCCTCCCCTCCCTCTCCCTCTCCAGGGGAACTGACTGTTTGGCGCCGCAGCCCAGAGGGCCCTCCGCACGTGCGCGATAGTTGGCCGGGAGCAGGCGAATTAATTTAGGGGAACGAAACAAATCACACAAACACAATATTTCGGAGTTCCGCGCGGATTTCTCTGATCGGCGTTGGGACCCCCTGGCGGCGCCTCGGGCGCCGCCCCTGGCGCGCTCCGCGCTCCAGGGGGGGGTCCAGCGCGGATCCAAGAAATCCGCTCGGACCTCTGAGTTTTTATGTTTATGTCAGTTTCGTTCCCCTATCATTGTTCGGCTGCAAGAGGGGAGAAGGAGGCGGATGGCGTCCGCGTGAGCCGGGTGAAAGCGGGAGGGCACTCATCGCTCGAAGGTTTTCGTCAGGAGTGGTCGGTGCGGCCAGCTGGTGCTGAGGCAGCCTGGCAGTGGACGCGAAGAGGCATCACTGAAAGAGGGGAGAAGGAGGCGGATGGCGGCCGCGGGTGCCGGATGAAAGCGGGAGGGCGTTCTTTGCTCGCAGACCTTCGTCAGGAGTTGTCGGTGCGGCCAGTTGGTGCTGAGGCAGCCTGGCAGTGGATTCAGTGGACGCGAGGAGGCATCGCGACCACACCCAGGGGCTTGAGCAGATGCAGGCGCTGAAAGCGCAGTTCGATTAGTGCGGTACGGGAGGAGCGGCAAGCGAGCCCACAGCTGAGAGAACGGGAGCATCTGGGTGTCAGTCGTGAGGCCGTTGGGGGGAGTTCCTGTGCAAGGTACGGCGCGAGGAGGATGCGAACATCGCAGGAGCGACCATGGGAGGCTGGGGCCGCTAGACTGAAGTCGGGCCTGTCCCTCTACAGGGGGAGTATTCAAGAGTAGTCAAAAAATAATCAGGGGAAATGTTTTTTGACCATTTTGGAGCATGTTGGGGGCATTGCGGGTGTGTGTGTGTGTGTGTTTTTATTTTTCGTCCAAGATCCCCCTGTAGGGGGACATGCCCGACCGAATGCTAGACCGTGCAGAAACATGCTGCCAGAATGCCAACCAGAGCGGCTGAGCAGCTGGGCTGCATCACTTGAAAGCCCGCGTTGATGGCGAGCGTGGCCTGAAATTCGGCGGGCGGCCGCACTAAGCTGCTGCAGACCGATGTTGGATTCCCAGCGGTTCAAGGGGCCTTGCTCCGAGAGACTGCGAGAGCCCTCATCCCCCCACCCCCTTGCCGTGATCCTTCCCTTCCTCGTCCTCCTCCTCCTCCTCCTTTTCCTTCTCTTCCCCCCCTTCGCATTCACCCCATATGAGCGTTAACGCCCCCTCTCCCCGAACAGTGCTGTCGCGACGCGCCCGCACGTTGGTTCCCCCAACCGTCCTGCGGCATTGGGCCTTCGTTTTGAACAGACAGCGCCCCGCGCCCTCCGCTCCTCCCCTCCTTTCCCCCGTTGTCCCATCTCCCCCCTTCCATAACATGCCTCCGCCGTCCGCGCGCTTTCACCGCCCGCCCATCTCGGCGCACCCTCGCTCGCCTCGCGGCCCTGTGCGGAGCCCCACCGAAAGCCCCCGTGGGAGAAGCCACGTGCGTTTCCCCGCCCCTTTCCGCACGCCCTTCGTGCGATCCGCGGCCCCAGAAGGAGGTCCACCGAATGCGACACTCGCGACGACGGCACTCACCATTGCGAACGGTTGGGCCTTTCGCCGGGGTATGTGTTTGTTGGGGCCCGTAGCAGCCACGGCCACGAAAAGGATGACGATGAGGACGGGAATGGGGATGGGGAGGATGATGATGCTGATGGTGATGAGACTGGTGGTGAGGATGATGGTGATGATGCTGCGGATGATGATGGTGATGATGGTGCTGAGAATGTTGAAAATGAGGATGGTGATGATGAGGATGCTAATGATGATGCTGATGCTGATGCTGCTGGTTCTGATAATGGTGATGCTGTGGTGAGAACGATGCTTACTGTTACGATGACGGTGACGACGATGAGAAGGAGGAGGAGGAGGAGGAAGAGGAGGTGGAGGAGGCTGTTGTTCCCCAAACGGTGCTCGCACTTCGGGGCATGACTTCTCGTCCAAGGTGACTGGGCCCCGGCGTTGGTCGGGCTGGCTTGTGGCCGCTCCTTGCCGCAGTCCGCCGCCGCTTCTTCAAAGGTACATGGGCCCTGGCGTCGGTATTTCCGGCTTGCGGCCGCCCGTCGCCGCCATCCGTCGCCGCCATTTGAACCGCGTCGGTTTGCATTGTTTTGCGTCGCATGGAACTGTTCTGCGTCGTTTGGTGTCGAATTCCATTGCATCGTGTTGCGTCGCATTGCCTTGCGTTGCTTTGCATGGATATGCATTGCTGTGCACCACACAGACTAGACCACATGGATTGCACCACCGAGATTGCACCGCAGTGATCGCGCCACCGAAATTGCACCGCACAGCTGTTCGGAAGTCACCATTCCGGGTCCACGCTGGTTCGTCTTTGATCAAATGGCTCCTCCTTCCTTGGAGGGCGGCGCCCGGGCCACTACCAGAAGGGCACGAAGCATAGCTGTGCCTCGCGCCTCGTGGCGGCCCGGCGCCGCAGCGGCGCCTCTTCCCAAGGGCGCGAAGGCGCGGCGAAGCGTGTGCGTTTCCGCTCCGCGCGGCGCGACACTGGAAGTTTGGTCCGTTGTACCCAGCGTGCGGCCAATTGCTCGGGGCTCGTTCCGATTCCTCCGATTCGATTCGATTCGAATTCGATAGTTTTCGATTCCGTTTCGATTCGATTTCGGGTTCCGATTTTTTATTTGACGCATGTTGGCCTGCCGATTTCCGCCGATTCGACTTTTCGCGACTCGGCTGCCGATTTCCGCCGACCCCGCCGATCCGATTCATTTCGATCGCCGATTCGACGTGTCGATTCGATTCTGGGCTTTCCTGCCTGCTTGGTGGAGATGGGTGGTGCGGGCGAGTTCAGCGTGTACGGGGCTGTCGTCCAACCAGGACGGGCGCAGAGCGGAGGGCCGACCCGGCGAGACAGGGCCTCCACCCCAAGACGGGGGCCCCATTGCCCCTTGCATGCCTGAATCAGGCGGGAACAAACACTGCAACAAGTAATCGTCGAAATGTGGGAAAATATGGGAAGTGTGTTAGGGGGAAGACGAACATAATTATCCCAGTGCGACCCTACCTAGGAGTTTGAGCATCTAGGAAAGCAACATCTACATCTACACCGACAGCTACATTAACATCTACACCTGCATCTACATCTACATCAACATCAACAGCGAGACTCACTTCTACATCTACATCCACACCTACATATACACCTACATATATATATATATATATATATATCTACACCTACATCCACATCTACACCTACACATCTACATATACATCTACATCTGCATCTACATCTACACTGTCGCATTGGTGTTGCTGTTGCGTTGCATGCTATGATATGAGATGCTATGATATGATATGCTGTGATATGATATGATATGATATGATTGGCTATGTGATGCCATGCTGTGCTAATGCTGCGCTAAGCGAAGCTAAGGTATGATAAGCTAAGCTACGCTTCGCTGTTTTATGATATGCTATATTGTGCTGCGTTATGCAATGTTATGATGTGCTGCGCTATGCTAGGCTATGGTATGATATGATATGATATGATATGGTATGATATGCTGCGCTATGCTAGTCGATGCGATGCTGCGCTTTGCTGTGCTGTGCTATGGTTTGCTGCGCTGTGCTATGCTAAGCAATGCTATGCCTATGATGTGCTATGTTGCGCTGTGCTAATGCTATGCTATGCTGAGCTATGCTATGCTATGATTGGTTGTGCTGTGCTATGCTATGCTAATGCTGCGCTGCGCTATGCTGCGCTGCGCGAGGCTAAGGTAAGGTAAGCTTTGCTAAGCCAAGCCAAGCTAAGCTAAGCTAAGCTAAGCCTAGCTAAGCTAAGCTAAGCTACAGGGGATCCTGGGGGAACCGCGGGGCGGATGCCGGGGGAACCGCTTGAGGCGTAGTCCTTTGCCCAGCCCCTTAAGCTTATACGGTAAGAACCCTTCTAGGCAGAGCCTAGGTAGGGAAAAACATTGAAACACATTGGGAATCTGGGGATCTGTGTGTCCCTAGGCCCATTCGCTGAATACGTTCGGCTCTTGTGTGCGAAGCCTCGCCCCCGCCATGCGCATGGAATGGCCACGCAGGGGCCTCGGGTTCTCCAGGGCCTGTCTGCTCTTGGGCCCACCGCTGCTGGCTGCACGTGCCCTGGGTTCCCTGGGTTGCCTTGGGTCTCGATCGCTTTGCCATGGAAAGTGCGACGTTCCCATACCAACAGTCAATGGACGCCTGGGTTCGTCTCACGCCCCAATCCTTTGTGGGCCCCAATCCTTTGTGAGGGCGAGAGGACGAGCTCAGTCAAGAAACAGCAACAAACCCTTAAGCATCGGGGTTCAACAAAAATAGTCAATGGACGCCTTGGGGTCTCAGGGTCGGGTTCCTTGTGGAGGGTCTCTCTCGTGGTGGGGCCCCCCCCCGTGGGGGGGGATGTCTCTTGTCCCCCAGGGCCTGTCTGCTCGTGGGCTCACCTCTGCGGGCTGCGCGTGCCCCATGCTTCAGGGGCGAGGAGGAGCAGGAGGAGGAGGAGGAGGAGGAGGAGGAGGAGGAGGAGAGGAGGAGGAGGAGGAGGAAGGGGAGGAGGAGGAGGAGGAGGAGGAGGAGGAGGAGGAGGAGGAGGAGGAGGAGGAGCGGAGGAGGCGGAGGGAGGAGGAGGAGGGAGGAGGAGGAGGAGGAGGAGGAGGAGGGGGAGGAGGGGAGAGGGGGGGAGGAGGGGGAGGGGGAGGGGGAGGGGGAGGGGGACAAGCTAGGTGCGCTCGCGTCATATCTGACATCCTACCCCCCCTCCCATCCCTTACCATGGCGTAGATCCCCTCTCTACTCGCACAGTCGGATGTCGAGCAGGGCAATGATCCCGAAAGGGTGCGCGATGCATTGTAGAGCACGGCATGGCATGGCGTAGAAGAGCACCGCAAAGCGTAGTATCAACCTAGCATTGCATTGCATGCCGTGGCATGGCACGGGAAATGACGCCAGCGCTGCAGCGGGAGCACGAGTCGGAACGAGCGGAAGCGCGGAAATGACGCCAGCGCTGCAGCGGGAGCACGATTCGGAACGAGCGGAAGCACGGAAATGAGGCCAGCGTTGCAGCGGGAGCGCGATTCGGAACGAGCGGGGCCCGAAAATGAGGCCGGCGCCCCAACGCGAGCAGCATTTTGGAAACAAATGCAGGCGAAAACCCAACTCCGGGGAATCCTGTGTGTAAAAACAGTACGCGCGGGGGGGGCTAATGCTTTCAAACCGTCATGAGGGGAAGAGGGAGAGTAGTATTCATATTGAGTAATTGTGGAGGAGGAGGAGGAGGAGGAGGAGGAGGAGGAGGGGAGGGGGAGGAGGAGGAGGAGGAGGGAGGAGGAGGAGGAGGGAGGAGGAGGAGGAGGAGGAGGAGGAGGAGGGGGAGGAGGAGGAGGAGGAGGAGGAGGATAAGGCTCAGGAGGCGTGGGGGGGGGTGCATCGACCCCTCGGCGCCCACGGGTCGCCCATGTGCTGTGGCCCGAGAGTTGCACCCCTCCAGGAGCCCGCGGAGCTTCCCTCGGGGGCCTCTCGGCGATCTATTGGCGACGTCTAGGGGGCCACATGTGAACCCTACCCCTACCCCCCCTGATTTCTGAGGGGGAGGGTGGGGTTCACTTCGTTCGGGAGCTCCCGAGCGAAGTGAACCCCACCCTCCCCCTCAGAAATCGTGGGGGGTAGGGGTAGGGTTCACATGTGGCCCCCTAGACGTGTGTCCGAGTGCAGTTCGACGCTTCGTTTAAGTCAGGTCCCTCTACAGGAGGAGTATCCAAAAATAGTCAAAACATAGTCTGGGGACTATTGTTTGGCCATTCTGGAGTATTTTGGGGGTCTCTTTTTTCATCCAAAATCCCCCCGTAGGGGGACAGGCCCGACCTAACGCTTCATGCCCTGTGCTGGTCTCCCCCTGTCGTTCCCCCCTGACCCCCTGCCCACCAGATTCTGGGGAAGGCCCAAGAAGGCCCTGACCCGTCCAAACTCGTCCGTCTCGTCTTCATGTTCATCTCCGCTCCGGTCGGTCCCTCGTCTTCATTTTCATCTCCATTCCGGTCGGTCTCGTCTTCATCTCAATATTCGTATTCATTTTATGTTATAGGTCGGTCTCTTCTTCATCTGAATTCCCCAGAGTGCGCGGCCAAGTCGGCGACGTCGACGACGACGACCTCATCATCCTCATTTGTTTCCTGGCGTTCATGTGGGCCTCCTCCTCGTTGTTCACCACAGTACGCGGCCAGGTGGCCTCTTCCCGGGGCCCACCATCTCCTGGCTGAACGCCGCCTCGGCGCTGCTCATCACATTCTGTGCGTACGCGTTCTGCTCCGGTGCCGCGCCGGCGCCTCGACGTCGTCGTCGTCGTCGTCGTCGTCCTCGTCGTCGTCGTCGTCGTCCTCGTCCTCGCCGTTTAGTCGCTATCGTGGTCGTCGCCGCCGCTGCGTCGGCGTCGAAACGGGCGCGGCAGACGTCGCGATCGCCGCCGCCGTCGCCGTCGTCGCCGTCGCCGCCGCCGCCGCCTGCGCCGGCGTTGCCGGCGTCGTGTTTGCCATGCCGGCGCTGCTCCTCGCGCTCGTCGTGGGTGCGTCGTGCCCTGTGGGCGCTGTCGCGTGGAGCCGGGCGTGTCGGTCCGGAGGCGCCCTCGTCCCGAGGCGCCCTGGGCGGGCCTCCTGTCAAGCAGTGGCGAAGCGTCCTAGCACGCCTACAGGCCTACCAAACAATGTTCTCAGAACCTCTTGTGGTATTCACGAAATGTTCTTAAAACATTTCTGGCTGGGACCGTCTTGTTTTGACACATCGGGCTCATGTTCTAAGAAAATTGTTTTCGTTCAAGGACATCTGTTGGGTTCTAAGAACATGTCGTGGTAGGCCTATAGGAATGCTGGGACGGTCGGTCCCTGCGCAATCCTGGAAATTCTCTTCCCTTCGCCACGATCGGGGGCTGCTCAGAGCGGGGTGACGCCAGGCCCGCGTAGATGGCGTCTCGATAGCAACACGTGGAGACGTGCAGGGAGACATCGTCAGCACCGATGAGGAGCAGAGCGGCACCAAAAGCGTCGAAACGACGGTCGCTGACGCAGAGCAAGAGGAAGTTCTGTGAAGAGCGGGTGCCACCCTGCCCGTGGCCTTCTACGTCGGGGAACACGGTGCAGACAGGGCCAGAGCGCCCAGTAGCGCGAGCCGCCCCCTAGACGAGGTGACCACAGCTAGGCCAGACTAGATTTTTAAACGCTACGAGGCCCCAGTCGAGGTAATTAGTGCAGCACGAAACCGGCCCGAGAGCTCGATCCATCGATCCTCCTCTCGGCACGATCGACGTGGAAACGGAAAAATGAGGATGGAGGCCAAAACCAGTTGTTGGCAATTTTGAGCAGCATTCGTTGTCGGTGTCGCCGCGGACGATGTCCGCCTGATGCGACAGAGAATTGCTTGTCCGACAGCGGTGGGTGTCGCTTTTGGACAACGTGTTCGCTCTTTGGCATGGTACCCATGTTTCCTGCACCCGCTTTGTCCAAAAAATCCCTCCTCCCCGTCCTTTTTGTGAATTCCTGCTCTGAGGGTCTCTGGGCATCGTGAGCTCGCCGCTGACTTCCTAGGGGCCCTTCAGTCTCAGCGGGCCTGCCTGCGCACCGCTAGATGGGACATCGTGCTACGCAGACATTGCAGTCGTGGCGCTGAAGTAGGAACCCTTTTCGTTGGGGAGGGGCTCGATGTCCCTTGATGGTTTTACAGTTTGCCGTGGGTTGTCCGCACAGTTTCCATGGGAAATCGAAGTTCACATGGGGAACATGGGCCTCGTTCCCCGTTTGGGCTTCAACGCCCCGACTGTAGCAGGCAGATCCTGGGAGGCCCAACCTGGACCTCGAACTGCCTCGTCGGCCACGGGAACGGCCACCAAGCTGTCGCTCCTCCGTGCGCCGGCACGGACGAGCCCGTCAGGGCTCCCAGGAATCTGGCGTCGCTCACACTTGTCTGTGCGGTGCCACAAATCGCGGCGGGGGTGCCCACCGCAGGCGCGCGCGCATATCGCGCCGCGCATATCGCGCCGCGCGCGCCCGCCGCGCCTGCGCAGGCGATTGGGCCGGGCGCGGCGCAGGGGGGGGGGCGCGAGAGCCTGCCGCAGCGGCGCCGTGCAGGCGACGTTCCGCCCGCAGGGCGGGCCCTGCAGAGCTCCCAGCAGTTTGCATGCCGACGGGCGGGCACGGTAAGGGGGTCCAAGAACATTGCCGCCGTGCCGATGCGGAAGTGGACGCGTCTGAACGGCGAGCCAAGTTTGTTAGGTGTGTCTGGTGCGTGCCGTTCGGGATAATTTGGCATGGTTCTCATTGCGCGGCCTCGGTCGACGACAACGCGAGTCACTAACACAAATGTAACGGGGGATCCGGGACCTCAAGGCCCAGATCCAGAGAGGTGTGCAGGCTGCTCGAGCTATCGCGGCGCAGCTGGTCCAGGGCCAGGCCGCCGTGTCCTCGGCAGTTGCCCCACCTCCACCTCCTCCTCATCCTTCTCCTCCTCCTCCTCCTCCTCCTCCTCCTCCTCCTCCTCTTCCTCCACCTCCTCCTTCCCCCATCGAGGCTTCGTGGTCGTCGTGAGCGTGCGCTTGCGCGTACGACTGCGTGCGCGTGCGTGCGCGCGTGCGTACGCGCGTGAATGTGCGTGTGCGCGTTCGTGCGCGTGTGCATATGCGTGCGTGTGCGCGTGTGTGCGCGCGCGTGTGCGTGTGCGGTGCGTGCGCGTGCGTGTGCGTACGTGTGCGGGTCTGTGTGTGTGCGTGCGCGCTTGCGTGCGTGCGTGCGTGCGTGGGCGCGGGCGTGGGCGCGCGCGCGCGCGCGTGCGCGTGCGGGTGCGCGTGCGGGTGCGCGTGCGGGCGCGCGTGCGCGTGCGCCGAGCGCGCGCTCGCACGCGTGCGTGTGGCCTGCAGCGCGTGGCGTGGGCGTGCGCGTGCGTGCGCGTACGTGTACGTGTGCGCGCGCGTGCATGAGTGTGTGTGTGTGTGTGTGCGTGTGTGTAGGTATGTGTGCGTGCGCGTGAAGATGTGCGTATGTGTGTGTGTGCGTGCGCGTGTGTGCGTTGGTGTGCGTGTGTTCGTGTGTTCTTGTGTGCGTGTGTGCGCGTGTGCATGTGCGCGTGGGCGTTTGCGTGTGCGTGTGTGTGCGTGGTGTGCGTGGGCGTGTCCCCGTGTGTGCGTGTGTGGTGTGTGTGTGCGTTTGCGTGTACATGTGCGCGTGCGTGTGTGTGCGTGCGTGCGCGTGTGCGTGCGTGCGTGTGCGTTGGTGCAGGTGCGTTCGTGCGTTCATGTGTCGGTGCGTGCGTGTGTGCGCGTGTGCATGTGCGCGTGTGCGTTTGCGCGTGCGTGTGTGTGCGTGGTTTGCCTGGGCGTGTACCTGTGCGTGCGTGTGTGGTGTGTGTGTGCGTTTGCGTGTGCGTGTGCGCGTGCGCGTGTGCGTTTGCGCGTGCGTGTGTGTGTGTGTGTGTGTGCGTGTGTGTGTGCGTGTGCGTATGCGTGCGTGCGTGTGTGAGTGTGTGTGTGTGTGCGTGTGCGTTCGTGTGCGTGCGTGTGTGTATGTGGGTGTCTCACATGGTGGGTACTCGTGTACTCCTGCACTGCGGCATACCAGACCGCTGGTCTTCTGCGCGCAGGCGCATCTCTCAGCAGTCGTTCGGCGTTTGCCTTTGCCGGTTCGGCTCAGGCTCACCCTATCTGCCGCGGATGCGTTTTCTGAAGCTGCGACGGTTCGCTGGCGCTGTCAGAATCCCCTTCCTTGCTGGACGATGTCAGCCAGTTTCGGTCTGCTCATACCCGTCAGACTCCCTGGACTGACTTTCTCGCACGGAGTTTGGTTCCCACCACCACGCGGTTGTCTCGGCACGACCACGACTGGGAACGTACGGCGCGCCATTTTGGCCGCGCCTGGCTTGCTCCTGGGTGACTGACCCCTCAGACTCCCTGGGTTGCAGCTTGCACGACCGCCTCAGGTGACTGACCCCTCAGACTCCCTGGGTTGCAGGTTGCACGGCCGCCTGGCCTCTCAGACGCCCTGGGTTGCTGCCCCCCCCCGCCGCCTGATCCGCGGCCCCCGCGCGCGCCCGGGAATTTGATCGCGGCCGCAGCCCGACCGTGATTGCTCGCCGCCGGCGCTTCCGCCTGCGGCTGTAAGAAAAAAGAAAAATGTGTGTATGTGGTGTGTATGTGTTTGGGGAGAGTGAATGTGGCGGCGGGCGTGCGTGTGCGTGCGCATGCGCGTGTGTGCGTGTGCTTGCGCGCGTGCGTGTGCGAATGCGGGTGTGAGTGTGGGTGTGGGAGTGTGGGCGGGTGTGTGTGCGTGCGTTTGTGTGTGTGTGTGAAGAGCGCGATAGGGAGGACGGGTGGGCGCCGGGGATAGCCCTGACCCCCTGGAAACTCACGTTGAGAGGACTGTCCCACTTTATATCACCTCAACCTTTCAATGCTCTCAATCGAGCATGCAACGTGGAATTCTTTTGCTTTTTAGCCAGGTTGCTGTTGTTACCGTGCAGTTGAAGCATATTGTTAGAGCATGTGTAGTTTGATGCTGTCACCTTCTACGGGTGCGATTTACACTCCACCCCCTTTTTTTCAGTTGGCGTGCCCTTGGTTTTGTTAGTTTTGTTCGTGTTTGCGTTCTGCAATGACTTTTATGGTCCGATATCGCCGATGTCCGACTACGTCATGAAGCACGCGTCGGAAGCAGCTGTGTCACAATATTTCCGTAGCTTCTGTTGCAAAGTCATCGCTGTTTTACGATTCCATGGGGCAGTTTTGCAAACATGTGTTCTCGTTTGGATGTCGGCTCGTTTGTTTTGGTGGTGATGTTTTCGGCTCCTCGTTCTTTGGCATTGCGCCGATGTTTTGGGGTGGCGGATACGTTGGAATTTGGCCGGTTTCCAACATGGTAATGCATTTGTTCGAGCACATTCGTGACCGCTTGGCGTCGAGGCAATCCCTTCCCTGAAAATAAAACCTTCCCGTTTCTTCCCCTCCCTCTTTTCTTCCCTACTCGTCCATTCGTCCAGTCCCCCTTCGTCATCACCCCTCCACCTCTACCCGACAACTGCTGCCGCCAGTGATGCTTTGGTGAACGAAACCGCGCAACCCATGTCGCAACCGACGGCCCCGACTGCGCAGACGGGGCACCCGACGGCGCAACCAACGGCGCAAATCAACCGAACGGCGAAACCGATGGCGCAACCGACGGCGCGCAACCGATGGCGCAACCGATGGCGCCCGCCGCCCTCCGCCGCGCGCCGGCTGCCGCTGGCCGCCTTTTCGGCCCTGGCTCGGGCCGCGGCGGCGGCCTTCGGCCCTGTCCGC